GTGTTCAACGTCGCTCCTCATGACCAAGCATAGAAAAATCCAAGGCTGCTGGTGCCATTGAGGTAATGAAGTCGCGCTTATTTTTATAAACCTAAGGGGTGTAAAGCGAGTCGCTTGTATGGTTGACCTTCTTACCTTTCTTTCCTGTGACTCCTATGTCTTCCGAGCACACTCGTGAAAAGTCATGTACGATCTCTGCGCCATCACTGAGTTTTACAATTCGTGAAATTGAAAGAGCGCGAGAGATTGCGTATACCACGGATGCACTGAAGTGACGACGTCTGTGTGCTTGCAAAGCGATGGCGGGCATCCTGACAGAGGAGCGAAAAGATGATGGAAAAGAAACAGAGAAAGATTGTACCCGAATAGACGACGTGTGCACTGTGATCCTGCGGCTGTCTCAGTAATTGAGTTCATTGTACCTCACTATAGAGCAATCGCTGCAAAACACAATTAATACATCTTGGGTTTTAATGTACCGAATTCATGATATGGTTATCCGAGGTGCCGTAGTCGAGGGCTGCGGAAATTTCGACCACCTCGACTCCTCTAACGTGCACCCAAAGCTGCAGGCACAACGAGCTGAAGTATTTCCGCCTCCCTAGAAAATGTAGCGCCTCGGTAGGGATTCAATCTTCCTGCGGCTCAGCAGTCGAGCACCTCTAGACCACTTCGGCGAGTGATCCCTCAAATATAGGTAAAGTTATTGTATACTGGTGTGACTTTAGTAAAAATATGGAGTTTAACGTGCTGACGAGTGCACATTGTTACATATGCAGCAATGTATAGTGATCACGTACACAAAGTAAAGATAAAATAGAGAACGTGCGCAGTGTCAGGAACATCGCTGCCTACATCAGTGTACACATCAACATTTCTTGCCAGATTACTCACGCATTTGAAGTTAGACGGCATACATTTCCGTGTGCCATACTCGATATTTGCCATGTTCGTTCGAGAATATTCAACTTGTTTATTTGTCCAAATAGTAAAACGCGGGTCGGCGTTTATTTGTCCAAATAATTATCACACTGGCAAAATATTCTCATCTCTACATCATTCGTGTTGACGCGCACTATATACCTCCATGGGACCAGGTCACCTTGGACCAAGCGAGGATGCATGCTTGCTATATATACGCCTCCATCACGCGCAAGCTTTGCGCAGTGTATTCTAAAGCTCTCTACTATCTCGCATGTTTGTGTGTTTTTAAAAGTGGACTCCATGTACTTATGTGAGAAAATCCAGCTGTATAAGGATTGCTCTGTACAGAAAAAGTGTTCAACGATTCAGAGCCCTAGGTATATTCTACTATGGGGGAACAGAAATTGTTCCCAGTTTCGTGAAATGGTGTGTTTAGAAGAAAAGTGTTTATTGAATTCGAATACTTCGTTATCAACTATGGGAGAGCAGTGAGCCGTCCCGATTACACATCTTCACAGTTTTAATTCACTCTGATCTGAGTACCAATGATGTTATGTGTGTTAAGAAAAAGTGGTTAACGATTTCGAGTACTTTGTACTCTACTATAGGAGAGCTGAAAGCCATCCCTTGGGCGTCAGAGACATAGTGAAGGAGCCGGTGAAACCATGTGTTTAGAAAATTCTCACGTACAGTGAACATCAATTACAATCCAACAGAACATAGCGACGGAACAGAACATCCACAGGTTTAAGAGAATTTCATTTCCGGATATATCTTACATAGCTTATGTGCACACAGAAAAATGGACAGTGGTGATCAATGCGTATGTACAATGCAAGCTGTTATATACAACGAAAAGAACCTATTTATTTGCGTATGCAGTGATGTACAATGCAAAAATTGTACAACAAAGACAAGACATTCATGAACATCGAGATGATTAAACTTAAATAAACAGTAAGACAATATGAACAAACAAAGGGAGGTCATTCACAGTGTAGGGTGATGTTTCTGCGTTCACCTGTGAGGACAGTTTGGTCTCGCGCTCGAGAACAATATTGCACAAAAAAGACATGTTTCTAATGAAGAAAAGGAAAATACACAATGCAATTTCACAGTGGTACAAGCTCTAGCCCACCCCCTCAATAGGGGAGGAAAGGCATGGACAGAACTTATTCACCGAGCATGACATAATATTGTCAGAATTCTGCGTGTATGGCCGTGGAATTAAATCATGGAGATACACGTTAATGACGCTGGTTTTAGAGGAAATCTCTAGGGTACCAACCACTTTTATCAAGCGTGAGGACATCAGCACTCGGCAGAAATTAATATTCTACTTAAAAAACAATTGACTTTTATTTTCTAGTGAGCCTGCGATTTGGGTTAATAGAGACAATGCACTTGGGTTTAAACAAAAAAGCAACTGCTACAACTCTCACTGAAGACGATGACGGCAAACGGCAGTTTTGAGAACGGTGCTTATATTCTTGGGGCTAAAAATGTGTGCGTGTACCTGTTGCATTTACTTGATTGATTGGTTTATTTATTGATTGATTGATCAATCGATTGATATGTGAGCTTATGAAAGACACCGTAGTGGAGGGCTCCGGATATTTCGACCACCTGGGGTTCTTTAACGTGCACCAAAATCTTAGCAGACGGGCCTACAGCATTTTCGCCTCCATCGAAAATGCAGCCGCCACAGCCGGCATTTGATCCTGCGACCTGTGGGTCACCTGTTGCATTTACTGATCATGTTTGGACCTAAGTCCGTTGCAACTGATTCTGCATGAAAATGGAAGTAGAAGTTTATGTAATGTTCAGGGCATGCCATGATGAATGAATCATGACTAAGGTTGTCCTTTAGCGTTCGAGCTGTGAGCCACGCTTCAACAAAATGGCCGACCAACGAAAAACCAGGCCTAAGAGCCAACACTCTGGAAAGTAGATTAAGCCTTACACAGACACAGTGAAACTATAGACGAAAAAAAGATTGTTTTCAACTTACTTGACTTTTATACATGTGCATGATAAGGTTATAATTGACCGTAAGTTTGTGTTTGTACTAGTGAAAAATAGTAATTCGGCACAGCGTACTTACGTTCAAAGTTCCCCTGCAGTCTCTCAAATCAATTGCTAGTCATATGGTTGCAAAGAGTGGCACGCTTTAAACAGCAATATTTGCCATTAAAGCCACGCGGAGTCAAGATATTGACCACGAACTTCACCGGTATACAGTATAATACGGTGAACTGCGTATTACCCCGGTGCAGTTGGCAAGTGCATCGTCTGAGGTCTCTTGTTCTTGGCGGTGTGAACAAATCAGTTGGGGCCCCTGACTGCAATATTCTCCTAATTCGTGATTCACTTCTATTCACAGACTTCGACTTGCCTATCTGGGTCCTGTACTAAACACGTATCAAAGAAATTTTGGTACCCCTGACTTACATGAACTTTCCCACCGGTGTGTGATCAATTGCACTTTCTTTGTTGTTTGCAGCCATCTTCCTGCAGATTTCTCGCGCTTTTCCTGCTTCATCTGTCAGTTCGAAGGGTGGTAGTTTCTTGAGAAGTGTTTTTTAATCTGGCTAAACCATTAAACCGATTTTGTTTAACAAAAACTGTCTATATTGTTTTTGTGTGCAGCTGCTCATGGTTGAAAGTATTATTTCGTTTATCAGGTACTTCGGTTCAAACAAAATAACTTATACGTAGTCGACTTCGTGTATCTGCGGAGTGGAGCAGGGCTGCTTTCGAATCCGTCATATGGCGTCAATGTGGCCGATGGCCGACGATCTTGTACTTACCACCAGAAACAACTCAGATGAGTATTTGATGAACTTGTTACATGATGACCACTTCGTGGCAGTGCGTTATGAAGCGGGCTTCGAACATCAGTATGATTGCAAAGCCACTGTGGTGAAACACATGTAATAGGCCCCCTGGGCCTCAGAAGGACATTGATTTGATTAATTGATATGTGGGGTTAAACGTCCCCAAGCCACCATATGATTATGAGAGGCGCCGTTGTGGAGGACTCCGGAAATTTTGACCACCTGGGGTTCTTCAACGAGCACCCGCATATGAGCACACGGGCATACAGCATTTCCATCTCCATCGAAAATGCAGCCGCCGAAGCCGGGATTCCGTCCCGCGACATGCTGGTCAGCAGCCGAGTACTTCAGCCACTATAGACCACCACGGCGGTGCCTCAGAATCACAGTTGGGTGGCTGAGTTGGTTTAGGTATACTGAAGGCAAAAGGGACAGCACTGCAACGAATACAAAGGACGATATAAAGACAATTTGTGGGACGATACTGGTTGGACATAAGGGACGTTTTTTTAATAAAACTGCAGTATTGAGCACAGCGCATGTCATGTCTTTATCTCGTCATTTGTATTAATTTTACCAATGCCCCCTTTTCGGTTCATTATAAATCCAGGGCCCCAGTGAAGCTGTTTTATTACAGCTTTTATCCCAGGAGACTATCCAGAATGTAATATTTCGTTCATTATAAAAATTAATCGAATGAATGAATGAATGAATGAATGACTCTGTCAAAGCAAACAGATGCCAACCCAGAGCGAAGTGTAAGCCTGCGTTGCTGCCTGTGAATCTCTTCGTTCAGCGAGGAGGCGTTCCCCACATCGAGAGGCATGGAGATCAAGCTCGCAGTGACATGATCAGCGCGGGCGGAGCTGCGCGGTAAATCACAGCACGGAAAAATAAGCGGCCCGAAGACGGCGGTGATGCCTCAAGGTCGGCCCGCATCGGCTGAAGAAGCGTCGCGAGAGCAGCAAGTTGCGCGTGCTTCGCGAAAGAAAAGAGTAGCAAAACCGCGGCGGCGGCGGCAAAACGCAGCCGGCCGCCGCGTGGAAGCCCGCCAAAGGGAGCGGCGAGGGGGGCCGTTGTCACTCAGGTGGCGGCGAGTTGCGCCGCGTTGCCGCGGGGAGGCGCCCGCGGTGTCTGGGGCGCGAGGGCGAGGAGGCAGCCGCCGAGGGGCGTGGGGGCGCCCTGATTGGCCACGGCGGCCAACCTTCCGGGGCCCGCAAAGCTGGAGTCTCTGCGAGCGGCCCGGCCATGGGCGATTTTAATCCAACACCTTGACGAGGAGCGTAAAAAAAGACAAATTGCCAATCCCATGTCGGAAGACGTTGCGAGGGCGGCCGCCAGATGATGAACTCGTACTTCGAGCAGAGCGGCTTCTACAACGGCCAGGGGGCCAGCGCGGCGGAACAGGCCTACCGGTTCCCGCAGGGCCTGCTCGTGCCGCCGTACCCGCAGTCCACGGCCGCCGCGGCCGCCGCAGCCGCCGCGGTTGCGGCCCGCGCCGCGTCTTCGCACGATGCCGCAGCCGCCGGAACAGCCGCCTCGTACGACGCCGCCGGATCAGCAGCAGCCGCGGCCGCGGCAGCCTGCAAGCTGTACCCGAGCGACGCCAGCGGCGCCTTCAAGACCGAGTGCCTGGTCAAGGACCAGAACGGCTTCGGCAGCGCCGTCAAGGACATGGCCGCCTCGTGGCCCTCCAGTTCGCTGTCGCGAGCCGCCACCGACCCGATGAGGCCCTTCGACGCGTCGGCCGCGGCGCCTAGAGTCTCGGACGCCTGGACCTCCTGCTGCCAGAGCACCACCGCGGCTGCGGCCGCCGTCGCGCAGGCGCCTACTAACGCCTTCTACCCCTGGATGGCAATCGCAGGTTGGTTCGCGCACTTTTCGCACACACCGTATCATCTCCGTGGAACGATAGCAGCTATCGGGCCGGCACTGGCGCGAACCCGTGTTGCTTCAGATAACTCCGAACACGGCAGTCTACTCAAACGTATCGTGTTAGGCGCTGTACGCTCGGCTGCGCTTGTTGTGCAATGTACTTCGCCTATGAATACCTCTCATATGCAACCTCTCATTTGTACATGCAGCGCAACGTTTCGGACTGCGCATGGCAATCGAGAAATCTACGTAGTGGGTGATATCTGGCTATATCGTGCACGTCTGGCTGCGATTCGAATCGACAGCACAGCTGCGCCGTTTCTTTAGTTTCTCGTTCCAGCTGCTTTGCTTAGCATCCAGACCAGAACTTACGATTCGTGCTCTAAAATACGCTACTGAACTCGGGGAGAGGGGTATCGCGACTATTAGTGTTGTCATTTTGAAGCAACAAACAAATGTCTGTCTACGTTGAACCGCCTCAACGTATATCATCAAATGCCGCCGAATCCATGTACAAATGACTTGCAAAGCATCCAGATGCTTCGAATGGTTTCGCTTCGGTCCTAGTGGTGTCGCTGAGTCCAGCTCTCTATCAGAAGACCAGCGCCCTGCCAAATCTCTACTAAGTTTCTTGGCGTATACGTATAATGTGGCGTTCATAAATGCGATGCAATAGCTCAAGCAGTGTATTCCGGTTGTCTTTATCAGCGAGAACGATGTGATGTAGTTCATCATGGGGAATTAAAAACAATAATAAAAAGTACGACATTTCTCGTTGTCAATGTAGCTACCACACACATGCAAAATTCGGCATACACGCTACAATGTCGGGACGAATGCGCCTTATTTAGTAATAGGTCTTCGTTTTCTCGGTTTGCCTACAATCAAATGTTCCATTATTAAATACAACACGTCAAAGGGATGAATCTGCTGTAAACCGTGGAGCTAGTTCAAACGCCGAACAATGCCCACTCGCTCCCCCGTGCAGCGCTGTTTGCACATGCCCGTTTGTGTCCAGCTTTGTTAACTCCCGACGAGGAGGAAGTGCATCCCCATCTTCATTACGACCTCTCCAGCAGCGCCTCAGCGCGCGGTTCCGAATGCACTCACAAACACACTGTGGAGCAAGAGAGGCGGCCGCTTCTCGTCTGAATGGTGCCATGCGGTGGGAGCCTGTGAAAAGGTGGTGGTCCCACCGAAAAAGGCTGCCGACACTTTGTGCAATGGAGGGAGGGCATCATCAGTGCGGTGGACGGCCGAGGCCACACAGGAGCGGCATCGGCCCGGCTCCGCGGAGGCGTGAAGTGGGGTAGGAGGGGGGGGGGGGGGTGCTGGAGCAGGGGCGCCGGATAGGGGAAGGGGGGTCAGCGTCGAGGAGCACAATTGTGGGGTCCACGAGGGGCTCAATCGAAAAAGGTGCCGTCCATGCAGCTTGCGTAGACGCTCACACCCTGCGCAAGAGGCAGAGCTGATACTGTATCGCGACCTGGGCGCACACTGGTCGATATGGTGACCATCATGGCAAGAAATGGCTTATGGGGCCGTTTGCAAATTCGCGAAAGGTTTACGAGACCATCGGCACTCTCTTTTGACACTCTGTCGACGCCGTGGCTGACGCCCCGGACTGATGGGAGCCCTCCTTTGCATTTGCTCCGCCAGCCTGGATGCGTGCCCGCCAGGCCGCCACTGGTTCTGGATGTGTGACATATTGGAATGGGCTGCCACCGGCGCCCATGCTAGTTGGCAGTTAGAGCCGCGTTTGTCAAGCTTTGTTCGTATGGGGGAGTTCTTCTGCGTTTACCTATACGCGGTGCAGTATACTATAGCTATTGTGTGGTTTTCACGAGCTGGCTTTCGGGAGGACTAACGGCGTGCGGTAACGTGTAACGGTGTTTCGATCGTTCTGGTTTGAATTAAGTGCAGGAAACCGTGAAATGCTGCCTCTACGATGCCGGCGAACGTAACTAGTAATACAGGGAAGCTCTTATTAAAAGGGGCACACAGCGCGGGGGTCATTAGTATTGATGTCGACACATAACAAGAGACGTTACCCAGGTATCAATAAGCGTGCTGTATATGTTGGATATGCACCACGAATAGATAATTAGTAATCAAATGTTAATTTGTGAACTATGAATTGCTTTTGTTCCCTTTTTTCGCCTCTTCCCCAAAGAAGATATTTGCTTATTCGTACACACGCGCACTGTGGGGCGCATCTTATATAATCGCATACACTGCTCACGGTTGCGTCACGGGTATAATTATAATTAATCACCGAGTTTTTTTGTATTTTTTACAACGCCATCATTCGTGATGTGAATTAACCGGATAGATAGACAATTTTCGTCGTTTGTTTTCGCTTATCTGTCAGCAAGATCACCGACTGGGGTAGTGGTACTGTCCTCTGTCAATTTGTAAAAGGGATTCGACTGTATACTGCTTCATTCATGCCTTCCCTGGGGCGAATAAATTTACAAACTCCGCCGTTTGTTTTTCTTTCTGTCGGCAGGATTACTGATGGTCGCACTGTGCTGGTTGACTTACCGTGGTCTCTTGCGATTCCGTGGAATTTTAATTGTACTTGTTCGAAGGCTCCCGCTGTTTCCTTTCAATTCGCTTGCATTTTCAGGGCTCAGTAGAGTCACAACCGTACGTGATAGGCCCTTCAGTGGCGGCGGAAATCTATCTACATGATTCAGTAAAACCGCGCTCGGGTCAAGATGGTCCTACGGGTAACCTCAGCCTGGTGTACTTAAAACAGAAACTAAAATAAACAGGGCAGGTTGGCTGGCTGTGAACTGGGTACATTTCGCCTACTGAAGGTCCTTAAAATCGCTCGCGTTGCATAATCTTTCTGGGCGTGAGCAGTTAGTGCCGGACCGGGTCCCCTACATTCTTCAACTGTATCACTTTCCCACTGCTTTGGTCTTGCTTGTTTTTTTTTTTCTTAAATTGCAGTTGTTGGACTTGAGAGAAAGTATTTCAGATGTTTCCCCAAGTTAGAGGTCCTGTTTACGCACGTGACAGCGTATGCGAAAAGGAAGAATCAAGAGAGGGCGGCCGGTGCACGCTTCGAATACAAATGGGAACGCGATAGAGTTCACGGCGATTCAATCGCGGTTATCGGTCCTGAACGAGGAAAGAGAGAAAGAGAAAGAAAAGTCTGAAAAGAAGAGGGGGCTGCAGAGACGGTAATCAGCGAGCTTGACATGTGAACTTAGGCTGGGTTGGATTTCTCGATGGCGAAACCATCGTTCCTCTATGGTGGTCCGATTCTCTTACTGTGAATGCGTATACGATATCTTCAGTCACACCTCGTCAGCCTGATTTTGGGAGCGTTTGAAAGGAGTAAGTAAAGGCTAGTGGCAGCGATATAACGATATCTTATTCCCGTCGGTGTCGCTGTCCGCGCTTTGAACACTGGACGGAACGTGCAGTCGAATGCTGTAAGTCGGAATGTAGTGCACGCGAAAGAAGCCTACGCAAATGCTCGTCCCTACGCTGTAACTGCCATTAAAAGCAGACGCTAGCCAATCGAAGTTTTAGGCATAGTATTAGCGAAGGCGGTCAGCCAATAGGAAACTAGATTGAACGATCATTCAATAAGTTTTATGAACTCAGACCCAGCAACAACGGAAGGGGCACGTTCTGTTGAAAATTTGAAGATCCTCAGGAACCAAATTGGCAAAGCGACTTTTTTCTCATGTGCAAACTGATTATTCGCATTTGTTAATAATATGTACATCATTACGATTGGCTGACGAATTACTTCAGTGTAAGAAGCTGTTACAGTCACATCCAACTTGAGTCCCGAGAGGCAGGCAACCGAAGTATAAGGCAGTCGATCGCTTCCGCGATTACAAAAGTCGTCCCTCTCATGCACTCGTCAGTGTTCTCTGAAGCCCGTGTCATCAGCCGTCGAGCTCATGACGTCGGTCTGCAATGTGCGCCCATTGGTGAAGGCTTGTGTCAATCCGTCGTTGCGCGGACTTGTAAAGTTGCATCGCACCGTAGTTTAGTACGGACCTACGACTTTGTGTCGATTCTCCGTTGTTCAATATCATCCTCACGACTGCTTGAGGTTGAGCCCTTGACATAATGATGTAGATTTACACCAGGTGGCGGTGAGGCATTGGTTCACGTGGCAATGTTATTTACTGACGTCAGCTGTGCATTTTACGTCTAGTGTGAAGTGTAGAGGATTGCCGTACAGCCATAGCCCCTTCGGATGTCGGTAGCGCAGGCATTGCTGCATGTCCTAACATAACAGCGTGTGCCGACGGTGAGCGTGAGGTTCTCTTTAACGTCGTGTTTGCAAATTGCTCGCGTACTTTGCAAGCAGAGGGAAGTTGCAAGGGCGCAACGGACTTTGTCCCTTTGCGTTTGCGTGCCGTGCTTTCTTTTTTGTTTTTTGTGCCATGTGCACTTTTTCGCACAAACACGAACACGTGTGCTACGGAAGTGCTACTGCTAGAATAAAGGGGATGCTTTCTAGTCTTCTTACCTTTGTTCCAATAGTCCTCAGATGTAGATTCGTAGGTAAAGGTTAGTGAGGCAAGCTGTTCATTTGTTCCGCTGTGTCACAGAGTTACGGCCGAGTTTCATCGCTGTAGAGTTGTTTTGTGACACAATATTCGTGCAGGTTATATCCTGCACGAATAGTACGTGCAGCTGATTGATCGTTGGGCCTTACGCGTCGTTTACCAATCTGCTGTGAGAGGTGGCAGTAACCGTCAGGCTGTGACCACTCAGTCGTGAGCTCGACCACAGCATTCGCACAGCTCGCAGTATTCATTAAAACACATTGTAAAGCTTCTTATTCTTCGAGCAGTGCTTTTTATGTAATCCTATAAGAGTTGTGTGTTATTACTACTTATGCCCAAGCTGAGCGAGTCATCATTTTTTTTTCATCTATCTCCCTTCCTCTCAATGCACGTTTTGATGAATACATCACCCTTCTTTCCCCTGCATTTCATTAGGTTACCATCA